CTCAACGTGGGCAAGAACCATCTGTTATCTTACCTCTGGCTCAGGATGGCTTTGGGAATGTCAGAGCAAGATTATGGCCTAAGAAAAACAGTTCTTTTGACTCCTCTTCTGTTTGGGGCCTTCTAGAAGTGAAGATCATTGAAAAGGATCGGACCCTCTCCTTCAGTTTTTCACTCTGGTCTATGGCTACTTTCAAAGTCCTGGTTAGGTTTTCTTCTATCTAAACTATTTCCTTGGTGCTGAGGTTTAATCTAGTTCCCTTCTTTTGGTCTCAGCAACTGACAATAGCTAATTAGTTAGAAATGGTCATTCTTAAGACCTGGAACTAGTTCGGTCATTAATCTTCCTGAGGCTATGTCTGGTTCCATCTTTTTGTCACCTTTCCCAGTTTTCTAAGCTCATCTAGCTTTCTCAAGCCTAAGACAATACTCTGTCCCACACTAGTTTGAGTTAGTGTTACCTTATTCTCCTACTTAAATGCCCTGTGCTCAGTTCAGTTGGCTCACTGTAGGTACTAGTAGATTTCTGGAGATTTGATGACCCAGCTCATGGACTGCCTAAGTCTTTTGTTCATTTCTGTTTGGTCTCCTATGACCAAATATCTGCCTTTTGATCTTGTCACAGTTTGATACCCTCAAAGAAAATGTGCAGAAATTGACCAAGAAGACGAAACTCAAGGCAATCATTCTGCACTCATTAGAAGCTTTGGTGGGCATGCGTGGGCATCCACGAGTCAGTACAGTTCACAGATTCATGATGGTTGGTTCCTAAGTTATGCAAAACATTCAGGATGTATGGGTTCCTAAGTTATGCAAAACAGAATTGTAGGAGTTCCTATCTTTTTCTCTTGGTGCTGGAGTTTTTTAAATTATTTCTATCCACAAGAATTATGCAAGATGAGATCTCACTGTGGATCATACAATTTGGATATTCCCTTCAACAGAACCATTAACCACAAGAAGAGACTTGGCAGAAAATAGCTGTCTGACAAAATTTCCTTCTAGAATGCACACATATCAATAACTTCCCGAGATATCACCACAATATCCTCTAGATGTCACCTTGAGAACATTCCAGGATGGAAGATGACTGCATTTGCACCACACATACAACCTGAAATAGACACATTGAAAACCTTGCAAGCCTGGATCATGGGCTTATTAATAATAATGCATACACACACACACACACACATATTGCCAATTACCTCAAAGATAATGTAGTGCTACAAATTAAGTTTAATTTATAAAATGATCTAATTAATTACCCCAAAGATAATGTAGTGCACAAATTAAGTTTAATTTATAAAATGATCTAATTTTTCTTTCTGACAGATTTTCTTTAAGGCTTCTCCAACAGAAACAAAAATCAAAACCTTCCTTTAAAAAGTATTTCTCATGGATCCTGATTTCTCTTGAACCCATCTTTCTCCCCAAGAGCCTCCCCAAAACATTTTCCAATTTCTCAGGCTACTCATCCCATTACCTAAAGCATCGAAGGGAGGAGAGTGTGGCAAAGCTTCAAGGCAGAAATTAGTTATTCCTGGAACGTGAAGAGCATTTCATTATGGATGATTACCCAATCAATTGTTTTTCTTTAATATGCCAAGTCTAAAGCAGACCAATAACTGACTCACTGGATCATGCGATTCATTCAAACCAAATGAGCTGTCAGGTAATTCATTAAGGATTTTAAACACCTGAGTGTGTTTAATCACTCGGAAGACTGGGAGGAAACAGAGAAAGATGTTCACAAGTGACTTCAGAGAGCTCTGGATTAGCTCAGGTGTTGTTTCCCTTCATACAGAGAGACTTAGCCTGGGGGCCTGGTTTTCAAAAATTATAGGAAAAACAATCCCTTTGAGTAGTCTGTGTTGTAGAGAAGGTTTGCAGAGTCAGTCTCATAGGACTTCTAAGGGGATCTTTTTCTAATAATCAAAACTTAGCCCTACCCAAATAAGAGACTTCCAGAGACCAAGAAGTACAGAGATGTGAAGAATAAGACCTAACCAACCACAATACTAAAATCGCATGGCGCACTGAGGCACAGGACCCCGTGTCCACTGAGGACAACTGCTAACAGTCGCATGCTGTGTTATCTGTCTCCTTTGGATGAAGTGGCAGTGATTCAAACGTGCTTCCTGATTAGGATGGGGTAGCTTCCCGGACTGTGCGGACAGATGCTGGCCACCACCAGAGAAGGAAAGAGAACAACTTGTGGAGTGCTGGAAAAGTTCCTTAAAAATAACCCACATTTTCGTAGTTTCACGAGGACTTACTCCTAAATACAAACAGAGCTTCCCTTTATAAATCTGTATTCTTTTTAAAAGAAAAAAAGAGGGAGAGAGCTCCTTATTAACCTTATAATAAGAATACACGCAAGCAGTCACCTTCTTCCAGAGCCGACTGCCAACTTTCCCCCAAAATATAAATAAAGACAATGGTAAAATAGGGAAGGGACCTTACTTATGCAACATTCCCAAATTATACTATTCAGAAAATATTAGCAATTATATATGTCTTGATGCAGAAAATTACATGTTAAGTAAAATTCCAGAACAGGAAAAAATATGCTCAATATTTCGAAACATGTTTATTAATTAGAGATGTACTCTGACACCTTCTCAAATACTGCTAGGTGAAGCGTTAACAGCAGCAATTTTAAATTCTCAAAATTGAAACTTAACCATTTTCCCCGGGAATAATAGCATTTTAAAACAATAAAATTACACTTAATGAGAGATTTATAGTCAAAGAATCAGATGTAGGGTGTTTTATAGCCTGACTTTATACACAAAGGTTAGAATACTGATTCTCAGAAATATTTCAGGTCTTTTTTGTTTTTATTATACTTTTTTTGCTAGCAATGATGGTTTCCCATTTTCATCAAATCTTCCTCTTGCCCAGCAATAAGCATTTCCACATATACAGTTATATACAATTATTAATTAAGGATCTTGTGCAAGGCACTAAAGGGAATTGGTCCCCAAACAATCAATAGCAACAGGTAATTTATGAAGCAAGATTGTAAATCTTTGTTGTAAACCTGAATTGTCAATCATCTCTTTGCTTTCAAGATCCCAGTGAACAGAGCTAAACAAAGTTTTATAGTAAATCTTTTGTTTTAAAATCATCTATTGGAGAAAAAAAATAAGAAATCAGGGATAAATAAACATAGGTGACTTCCAGAACTAATCTCCTTATATTCACACTCTGCTTATCATCTTCTGACAGAGAACCCCTTAGGGTCCTGGCACCCCAAACAGGTTAGATAAATGGCTATTTCTAAAGCAGGGACAGGGGTTCAGAATGAGCCTCCATCTCTATCTAATAGACTGCTTGCTCCCCCTTCCCTCTCTCAGACGTAATAGCTCCAACAGCAAGGGGTTTGGGGGATGGCCCCCACGCGGCTCAGCACTCAGGTATGCTTTAGGCTGCTCCGTCCAGGGGGTCAAGAGGACAGGTCAAAGGAAGAAATGCAGATGCAACCAAGAATCAAGACCTGCCAGGCGTAGTCCAAGAGCTGGAAACAGATTAAACATTAAAAACAAAGCAGGTCAACACAAGGACATGAAGGACACCAGGCGGACGCCGGTATTTCTCAGCATTCTGAAGACCCCTTTGACATTCCCCCGAGACCAAGGAAAGCTCACAGAAGTAGTTTGTGAAGCAACGCCAAGGCTGGAACATCTGCCCAACCTGAGGTGCAAGGCCCCCTACAGAAAAGAACCCAGGTGACCAGGGAAGGTGGCTGCCTTTGCCTGATACTCTGTGAAGCAGGAACTCTGACATTAACCTTGCACTACTTGGGAGACATTTCATTTGCCAGGTTTGTTGTCACTAGGAGGGAAAAGTATTTCAAATGGAAGGCAGTGACCCTGCAAGGGTCATCATCCATCACCTGGGGTCAAAGACCTTCCTGATTGTCAGAAGAGGCAGAGGTGAAGGGAAGAGGGCAAAGAAAAGATCAAAGGGCCTTTGAAGGGGTTATCCACTACACAACAGAACCTGTAAAATGGAACTCCTCTGGAGTCTGAAGTCTCCTAGTTGCTAAGGTGAGAGATTTCATGAGCGGTCTTTTTATATTCCTTTTCTTTTTTTTAAAGCGTGAGTGCTTAAGAGGAAGACTGGAGTCAGCAGATGGCAGAAGAGGCACAGAGGCACAGGCTTACCTGGCTGCCAGTTAAGGCCTGTACCTTGCGGGGGTAGGGAGAGGAGGGAAGACCCCGCCGACTTTGCAGTTGCCAAATGGCCAAGTGGCTCAGCCTGAACTGCCTTGTGAAACCATACTCTAGCTGATACAAATACTCCTGCTACTTTTCTCTGTAGACGGCCATCACAACAGGAGAGAGGTTGGAAAATAGTCAGTGCCAATGGAAAAGCAGTCAGGGACTATGGGATTCTTTCCGTGAGCGATGGCATACTTTTTACTGCTGTTCTCACTGCTTAATGAACCTGAGATGATTAAAGGAGCAGCTGGGTCCAGAAGGACTACCTGGCTAGTGTGTGAATCAACTCCACTGGGTACAGAGGTAGAGGCAGGGAAGAAGCAACTTGAACTCAGAGAGAGGCAGGAAAGGAGAGCTCCACTGAGCCTTGGTTCTCACCTGATGGACTTTCCTGTGTCTATTCAAGGAGACTCATTAATCTCAGGAGGCTCTGTCCTGTCTCCAGGATGCCTTTCCCTGTGAGCTGGTGAGTGGAGTTATTTCAAGGACACAAACTACGAGCCTTTTAAAAACTCACTGAAGATGTTTATAAACATAATTATTTTATGAAATAAAATATATTACAAGCAATATAGCTAGTTTTCAGATTATGGGCTGTTTTCATTAGCCATGCCCCAGATGCCTCCGGCCCACTCCCATTAGCATGGATAATTGAGAATGTGCTGCATTTCCATTTCAGCACAGCCTCTCTAATACATTTCAGGCACTCAGATGGAAAACCAAACCTCTGGCTATTACTTCACCTTGCATGAATTTAGCACATGGCACTAACCTCTATACAGTCCAAAGAAGCCTTCGTAGCGTAGCACTTTCTTAAAACAGTCAAAGCTGTTTTTATACATAAGTTCTCCCACAAAAGAGCCAGTTGATCGCTGGTTCTGCATTCGAGTTTTGACAAGATCGATGGGATACACGGCAGTGGCTCCCACAGCTGAAATCAAATAATACCAACATTTCAGAAGGAATGAAGGTCTGTCTGAGGAAAAGGGGAGGCAAAGTCAAAGAGAAGATTGACCAAAGAAAAAACGTAATTTAGCATGAACAGATTTTAAAACTGTACTAACAATTACCCTTAACAATTATGGATTTTCATTAGAGTGAATGAAAGGTTAAGAGGTGTCAGTTTTCAAGAAGCACATCCCTACAGTCTAACTGCACTGTTAAATACCTGTCTTTAGAAAGCCTATCTGCAGATAAATTAAGAGAAAAAAGCCACATCTAAGTATCTAATCAGGTGCAGATAGGGGAACAATTCCCTTTGCTCTTGTCCCATTTCACAGGTCCAGACTTGTAAGTGGCTTAGGGACAGACTAGAGGGCGTTTGTTTTTAATATTTCAAGATGGAAAGCCAGAGAAAAAATAAAAGGAATAATAAACATGAAAAATGCGAACTCATTATGACTTACCTCCAGCAATAGAACCCAGACCGAATCTGTAGGCTGACTCTGCGACTTGTAGGAGAACTGGGCGAGATGAATCGACTGGGGCCTTCTGCTTTGCACGCACGGGAAATGGAGAGTGGGAAAGAAGGAAACAGAAAAAAACACGGAGTATAAGTGAGCACATATTATTTTTTTAAATTACCCACTAGTTTCTAAATTCATGATACAACTGAAATGTCAAAGAGGAAGTGGGTTAGGTTCAGTAAGTGGTGTTTTTCTTTTTTTTTACCTTTTAAATCCTCACCTGAGGATATGTTTTTTATTAATTTTTAGAGAGAAGAAGGGAGAGAGACATTGATCAGTTGCCTCCTATACATGTATATAGAGTTGTCAAAGGAGGGTGGCATACAGTTAGTGCTTACTAAATACCTGTTGAATGAATAAAAACATTCAATAAAATCTGTTTTTTCAAAAGCCACGATAATTAAAATTGGTGAGCCACAAAAATAAATACCAACCCCAGAAATCAACCCAATGAATTTTAGTCGCTACCAAAGTAACACAATTCTAATACAATGAGGTAATTTGCAATATCCTTCAAAGTCATTTCACTGAAAACAACTTTACATAGAAATATGCATCTTTATAAACATAAAACATTTCTTCTGCAAATTGTATGGGGTATTTCCAACTCTATCCCTGTATAGACGGACATCAATAGTAACTGCATTTTGACAGATGCAACTATAAGAAAGGTACTGTTTTAGTCACATGGATACAAATATGCCATGGGAATGAACAAATAGAACAGAACAAAAATAGACTCAGAAACAAAAAACAAACAGGAGGGAGAAGGTGGAGAGACACAAGTAAATATGGTGAAGGTGAATATTGTCCATAATAATCGGTAGCTTTGCACGGTGATAGGGGGTTACCAGCCTGAGGGTGGTGAGCACATTGTAAGATATAGACATGTCAAATCACTATGTTGTACATCTGAAACTAACATAATACTGTATGCCAACTATACTTTAATTTAAAAAAAGACGAAAAATGTGCAATGCTTAGCAAAGTTCTGGTATCAAAATAACAAGTGAACATACTCTGAAAATAACAGGGTGGGAAGAATCTACCACTATCACTAACTCTTCATTTAAAAGATTAAATAAATGAAACCCCAGACTTATATTTAACTTTTCTGATGCTAGAAGTGCAGCATGGTCATGAATGAGATAAGCAAGATTCCTCCTTCTGCACACCTTTGTCGAGGATGAATGTTAGCACGGAGCCTACCAGGTGGACGACCTCTGTCAATGTGGTCAGGCCCACTGGGGCTCAAAGTAAAGAATATTCCAGGCAAGCCCCTCATGAATTGCTCCAAATCTCTCAGCAGCAGCCAGGCACCTCCCACTGTAAACCTCACCAACCCCCTCAAACCCGCTCACGACCAGTGTTAATAAGCAACCATCACAAACTCTCCAAAGCTGCAGAGGGCTTGAAGGAAAACGTGTGGGAAAGCGCTGCCAAATGGAGCACAGGAGGGAATCTAAAAATTATATAAGAAATAAAAGTCTCGCCCGGCCGCCATGGCTCAGTGGTTGAGTGTCGACCTATGAACCAGGAGGTCACGATTCAATTCCTGGTCTGGGCACATGCCCGGGTTGTGGGCTCCATCCCCAGTAGGGCAGGTGCAAGAGGCAGCCAGTCAATGACTCTCTCTTATCATTGATG